TGAGCCTTTCTTCTTTTAAAATAGAGGCATTTTGGGTTTTTAAGGTGGCTACAGCCTGAGGGGGAAAAGGATGAGCATGATTTGTAAACAGTTTTGTTGAGTTCTAAAAACCAAAAACATCACTGAGAACAATTTAAAATATTTTACTCACACTTGAAAAGATGCACTCAGGTCAGCTGGGGATAGTTAAAGCTAATCATAAATGGAAACCATTTGAGTTTTTTAATAAATATACTTTGTACTGACAAATGGAAACTGAACTCCCCCCCCCTTTCTCCATTGTAAAGTGAGTATCACTTTAAGAAACGTTGCTTTCGAGGAGCAACAAACATCTCTGCTCGAGGGCTGCACGTTATTTTATAGAGCAAATTTTCACTAAGAATTTCAAGAAGAGGTTTTAGTGCATGGCATGCTTTTTAGATGAGAAATTTAAAACAATGACAAGGTGATAAAAAGTTCTGCTTTGTAATTCATATGAGAAGTTGAAGCTGACTACACTGACCCACTTCACACACACTACCTCACTCTGCACAGTGAGTCATAAACACAGTGACGCATTCACGCTCTTGTTTAACAATTACACCAGGGACTTTTTTCTGCCCTGCAGCCAGTCATTACTGGGTGCTGTGTTCTTGAAACAGTGTGGATTAGTAGCTCTGTAGATACAAATGGATTTGCTCCTGGCTCATCCTGACACCAATACATGTGACCTGCAAATGAAAGGAAGATAGAAAATAGTCCATCTTGAATGATCTGCACATTTGTGGATGTTGTGCTGTTCCTCTTTTTTTCCAGATATGTGTTGATGTTGTATAATTCATGTACTGCAGTGACTCACTATTGAGTTTTTCAGTTTATTAATGATGTAAAGATGAAGTCTTCATGGGGACACTGGGAAGTGGAATGTTTTTTTTGTCAAAGTTGAAAACTACAGACAGGTGACAAATGAAAGGAAAGCCCGACGTTATGGGGGATATTTACTAAGGTTTTGCAGCTCGTTTTCTGGTGCTAAACAGTTAAATTGCATATGTTTATATTACTCAGTCACAGTGCAGAAAAAGAAGTGCGGCACCACTGGACTGTGTGTACTGGGTTTCATACTTTAAGGTGTTAATATTAGGGGATGCAAAATAAGGGAGGAGAGAATGCAAATGTATACAAATACCCTCGGCACCTGACTTAGCACCGCTGTCACAGAGGGAACTGCTGCTAGAATTTAACATCAGGAATGTCCCCGGTGGATGGGGGCACTGTCATCCTGAAGGAGACCACTCAGTTATTTAGGTTTTCCCTTTCATTTGTCACCCATCTGTAGGTCTGGCAAACAAGATCACAAGACAACATTTTTGTGTGTGAATTACTCATCCAAAGGCCTAGTATCTCTAACAGGGATTAGCTTTTCTTTCACACTCCAGAATCCTGCTTTTCAAATGGAAATTGCCTGAATCATTGCCACGCTGACAGTTTTTCACCCCCTCTCTTTTCTGTCTCTGGCTCTCTCTGCCTATCTCTGACTTGATTCAGTTCAAAGCACCTTTGAAAGGAAAGCATCATTGCTTTTTATTTGTGCGTGTGTTTGTTATCTAGATGTGTAGCTGCCCAAGCTGCACAGGTTTTGTGTGAAGACAGGACAGCATACTGCAAGAATGGTTAAGAATGAGATGTTGACGCACACACACAATCACATTTTCTGGGCTCGTTGACACTGCACTGGCATGCAGTTCAGATCAGGCCTGATGGGGACGCCGGGCCTGGCAGTCCAGCACTTTTAGAGGCTCAAGCTGGAGCTCTTATCTCTCTAGCCCGATGGTCTAACCTCTATTCCCTGCCATCAGACTCACACACATATGCACACATACACACATACAGAGACAGTGGACTGATGGTCTTAACCACCTTACTTCTCACCATCTGATTGACTACAGCTGAGGCAGCTAAACTGCAGTGCAGGCCATAAATTGGTGCCTTGTTTGGGGAAGAGATGGGTGCAGTGAGAGTGCAGGCAGTCAGAGGCTGGAATAGTGTTAAACAACAGACAACTACATGCCTGCACACATACACTTACACTGCTAGCTGTACACAGACATATCTAACATGTGGAGGACCTGCACCACCACCACTGACACATGCAGAGGAGATGGCCCTCAGCCTGAGTACTGGAAAGCCAGTGGCTGAGGGAATTCCTGGAGGGAGTTCATCAGAACCAGTCACTCCCCAGGATACAAGTGCATTCATTACATGTAAGAGGCCTACCTATATATTCTATTTTTTACATAGGCTACTTTTGATATATCCATTTATTACACTCTGGGTTGGGTTTTTTGTTGGTCTTAACAGATTCTGATGGTAATATCTGCCTTTTGGAGCCTCCTGTCACAGCAGAACCCCAGGCTGTTGTAAGTATCCTACTAAATAAAGCTTAAATTATGATAGGTAGTATTATAAAGTGTACTCTAACCAAATGCTCGTCTTCATAGGACTATGAGGATAATGAAACTATGTCTGCCACAGAGAGGTCTACAGAGGTAATATTAATACAGTGTATACACATCAAATGATCTACACATTCGGAGTGCCAGTGTTTGTGTGAAGTAGCCTAAAGGATGTAAATCTATCTCCAAGTATACTGACATTATTATCTCCCCTCTGCCCCAGAGTGTGGAAGAACAGCAGGAGGAGGGTCCATCAAATGCAGCTGCGCAGATGAACACAGTTCAGTGATGTTCAGTAAATGCCAGAGTTGCAATCTGTAAAATTAATGAGGAACTATGTCATGTAACTAAATCTTCTGTATTTACAGTTACCAGTTAAGGAGTTGTATAGAATACATCTTATTAAAAAAATAGAAAAAAATAACAAAGAAATGTTATACTTGGACCGCCAGATTGAAAAGACAGATCTAGAAATTGAAATTCTCAAACAAAAGCTAGAGGTGAGTGTATAGTTACAGGTGAATTGTATGAATTATTGAATGAATTGTGAAACCTAACAATTGCTTTTGTATTTGTAGGAAATGAAGAAACCCGAATAATTTATGATTTGCATTTATTCAGTTACTTTCTTTCATCGGTGGTGGTGGTGATGGTGGTGGTTGTTGATTAATCCAAGAAGACATTACGGCATATCCTATCTCTGACTGTCCTTCCATCCTGGTTATCTGCAGGGTGGATGGGGTCGTCCTCAGGGTCTTGTATTTGTAGGGCAGGGTGTTGCTCCCCTCTAATAATTGCAATATTGTGGAGAACAACACATGCCACAATAATGTCACAGGCCCTCTCAGGTGTTACCCTGAGGTGACGTAGGCAATGAAAACGTGCTTTCAACAGGCCTATGGTCATTTCCACCCGGGCTCTTGTTCTGCAGTGTGCCACATTAAAGCGCTGCTGGGGGCCTGCTGCAGGTTCTGGGTAAGGGGTCATCAGTGTGGGCTGGCATGGGTAACCCCTATCTCCCAGCAGAAAGCCATCAATCTCTCCTATAAGAAAGTTCACATCACTTTAGTGCTGCATAGAAGTGCTCCTGTAAGTGTGTAGTGCATGCATTGAAATAAGTGTATAGGGCATACATGTACTTACCACATTGCAGCCTGTTACTTAGGGTTGACTCACGATATATTCGTGAGTCATGAACAGAGCCGGGCCACTTGGCCTCCACGTTCGTGATAATATGTGAAGCATCACATATGATCTTGGCAGTGCAGAAAATGATACATGTCAGGTACAGTATTGTGATGTAGTCTTTGACCATTAGAAAGAGTAGTCAGTGTACCTGCACATTAATACTGTGGATGGACCTCCTGTTGACATAGTCCCCTTCATTTTCAGAAGGTGCATTGATGGGAATATGTGTTCCATCAATGCATCCAACCACATTTGGAAATCCTGAAGGGGATTCTAATTATTAGTTTATTTCCAGAGGTCACAGCAAGATGTTATTAACTGATCATCATTTGTCAGATTAGCCTTACTGAAACGAATTCAATACCACTAACCTGCAATCCTGTGAAACTGCTCTTTAATGGCTCTGAGGGGTTTGTGCCCAGTGAATCCAGGGTGGACCCCGCCTCTCCCCCAGTGTCAGCTGGGATTGGCTCCCACCACCACCCCTCCAGCCACACACACACATCCATAATTCATAATACTCATAATATAACATAGGGAGATGAACAAGCTCTCTAAGTCTGTGACTTACTGAAAGAGAAGCCAGTGTGTTTTTCCTAATTGAATGCAAACCACCATTTCTCTTCCTGTGCTGCTTCTGATAATGGTAAAGCAGCATGATGTGAAGTTATGCAGTGAGCAGGGTTCAATTACTGGCACATGCAAAATGCACTTATAGCTGTTCAGAGTGAAAAGCAGGGACGCCTGCATTAAATGAGTTTCTACTTTCCTCTGTCTTTGTACAGAATGCTGAAGGACCAGCATGTCAGAAGCAATTTCAGTTTTTCCAAAGTGCGGTAATGACTCTCACAGGACTATCAGTTAAAAAGGAAATGCTCTTTGTCATCAGGCCACAACGTAGTGTGTGTGTACTCCTGCTTGGTGAGACTTGTCCTTTCAGAATACTTTGTAAATGTTGTGGAAACATGCAGTTAAAGATTCTAGTGTCAGGGATCATCTCAGAGAAGGAAACAAATCAGACAATGCTTGTAGACTTTTATCTGTTAAAAGCTCATACACTGATTACAGCTGGTCAAACAAAGAAATTCACATTTTTTTGCACTGTGCCTGTGCATAGACACACATCAACCTCCATAGGTCACCAGTGATCACACTGGCGAGAACATTATGGATTTTACGGACATCAGTATCAAAGAATCAAAAGTGTTGAGGTTCAAAAATTTCAAAAAGAAAATAGTTTTTTTCAGGGTTTAACGGCAGTATGGCAAACCAAGCCTTCGAAGAAGTAAGAAAATAACAGGAGGAAGAAAAGAAAGCTCTGTGGCGATTTAGTGTGTGTTTGTCAGTAAGATTTAACCTTGCCATTCAGGTGATTATAAAAGAACGATGGCAGAGGTGAGCGATGAATGTTCACGAGGATCAGCCATTGTGAGAGATTAGATGAGTGAAGGCTGAGAGACTGTGAATTCTCAGTTACTGGGAACTCGTATTGACCATGTGGCCTCCACAAGATAGTAACTTGTTGGCAGGGGGAACACTCACAAGTCCTAGTAGGAGGGCTGCTCAGAGTGTTTCAAGAATCAAAACCATAAAATACTCAGGGGTAGCTCGGACCCCAACCCTTTTATCAGTGATTTTGGTAGCTTCTACACTTAGTTAGGTCGGCCTGTTTTTCCCCCAGAAGGCATCCTTAAATTGAATCAATTTGAATAAAAAGGTTTTGATATTAGTCCCCAATTCAGTTGCAAGGGCATTTGCATTTTTCTGCCTGAACAATAAATTGCTTGTCCAAGGGTTCCTCCAATTGGCATCCACTATTATTAAAACCACCATTAACAAGTCATATTGGTAAAATTCCTTTGTAGCAAGGCCAGCTTTTTTAATTTTCCAAAATGATGTTAGTAAATACGTGGAAATGGTCACCTGTGTTCACAAAAAGGATGCTGGAATAAAAGAGATGCTACAGAAATTAAAACCTGTTTTATAACTCATATAGACCATCATTAGAAACAAAGCTATGTGGATTTAAATGTGTTTTTGAAATTCTGACAAGTGGATACCTCTGTGTTTCCACACATGTATGTGCAGTAGGTTTTAAAACAGAGTTTCTGTAATCTAGGCAGCGTGGTGAAAACAGGGAACTACCAACTACATCTACTCTTTGTAAGATAAAGTACTTTGTGATCCCAGGTTTTCTTCAAGCTGGTGCAGACCAGATTGTGTGTGAAAAGGCCAAAAGGATAAGTACAGTATATCGGTAGAAACAAGACTGATGTTATCCAGCATGCATGTTTGGACAGGGTGCTGTCAGGAGTGAGAATATCTTCCAAGCAATCAATCAGAACAACTGTTATTTAGAAAAACCTTTACCAGAATTACAACCGTTTTTTAAAAACTTTTTGTCACTGGGAACATTTGGCTGTAACTTCATACAGAAATTCAAAAGCTTTCAATTCATAGGATACAACATAGAGACATTTATTTCTTGTTTCAACACCCAAACTATGTTGTTCTCCCTTCCATCAGCCCCAGAAAGCAGCATTGTTCATTAATAACCAAAAATGGAAAACAAAATAAAGTAAAAAATGTCATACGAGCTCCTGTGGTGCCCAAAGCCCTCGGCTCGTCCTTTGTCCTTCTGCCTGTTCATCCAGCCACCAACTGAAAAATAATGCACAGGTGAGTGTGTGTGCGCATATGTGTGAAAATATAATTAGTAACAAAACAAAAATAGTCAAGGTTGGTTTTAAAACACTGGTCAAAGTAGAGTCGGCATCTGGGCTGTCTTTAACAATTTGTCCCCTCCAAGGATGACCATCTGTAGAAGTTTCCTGTTTTTCTTCTTCTCCCTCTTTCCTCACTACCCTTCAGCACACACATGCACACACCCCCACACACAGCTGTTTTGTTTTGTGTCATGAATCCTCAAAGTGTCCTTGGTTACCACAGATGCCTGGACTGTAATTCTTGGCTCAGCAGACAGGTCTTCAAATGGCAGAAAAAGCGATGTGGAGGCACCTTCCTCATTGGCCAGTTTGGGTCATGTGCAGGTTTGCAGAAACAGACACACAGCTCATGGACATGCAGTGGTATGTTAATAAAATACTTCCTTCTGAATTGAGCCAGAACCAAAATGTGATAAAGTTATTACAAAACAGGGAGAAGAAGAAAAAAAGGGGGTGAAAACAAAAATAGTTACATCATTACCATTGAATTGACAGACTATTTGGTTTCTTTTTGTCTAAGTAGAAATGTTTCTCTTGTTTTGTAAATAAATGCATGTAAATATTTTTTTTCTCTTTTTCCGTACTCTCAGTCAGTGTAAAGGCGGCCACTCAGGAGGGGTTTGGATGTTTGTATCCGTACAGTATGCATATCATCAGCACATTTTCAGAATTTTCATGTTACATTTTTTCATTTCGCATTTCCACTTGCATCCCGCAGGTGCAGAACACCGGAGCCTGTCAGACACTGTTAAACTCGAAGTGAAGTCCTAAATTATGTCTTTTCATTGGCCAGTTTGGCCCCGGTCTGTGTGTGATAGGCTGGGGCTGAGTAACAGGGTCTGCGTGGGTCCGTTACAGCTCAGCATCCCAGCACTCCCTCCTGTAAGAAAGCAAACAGTTTGTTTGACCTCCACATGCCCTGCTGTCGATCCACTGCTGCCGATCCCACCCTCTTCCTGCTTCCTGTGGGCCAACGCCAACGCCCTGAGGTGCTCCTGCGCCTGCTCTAGCAGCAGTGCCACCTCATCCTGCTGTTGACCGATGGCGCACGAGCAGGAAGAAGATGGCAAAGCAGAGTGTGCTACTTTCCCTCTCCTCTCGTCATTGTAGGGTGTGGCTTCACAGGTGACTGTGGTTGCTGGGCTGACACTGGTTTGCATACAAGACACCTCGTTGTCATGGTAACACTGGACAGAGGGGATGATGGGGATAGAGCAGGAGCGAAATGGAGGAGGCGGGGAGTGGTTGTGACGGCGGCTGGGCCTCCTCAGACTGCGGGTGGCGGGATTCGGATTGTTGTGCACAGACGGGCCTGAACGCACCTCCACATGGCCGCTCCAAGGTGAAGGCAATATTGTCTCCATGGAAACAGGAGTTTGCATATGTAGGAAAGCGTCTCGTCTGGGGTCATCGCATTGGTTCTCTCCCTGCATCCGACAGCTATTGAAGATGGGAACGAAGACAGACAAGACAGAGACAAAAAGAAGAGGAAGGGAGCAAAGGTTATTCAACTCGAAAAACTTCACACACTTCACTGAGAAGAAGTCATCGTGTCTTTGAGTGCGATTTCAACTTGAGCGCCTTCTCAAACTCCCACACTGAAACACTGGCAGAATACACAGAGGGACAGCTCTCCGCCCTTTGCCATCTCACAGGCTAACTGAGGATGCTGAGAGGGAAGAAGATGAGTCTGACATCTTTCTTTCATCTCTTTATATCTGAGTCCCAGCACACACAAAAAGACTCCAAAAGCCTCAACTCTCTTACATAACTGATGCGGCAAGAGGGAGTTCACATTTAATATTACTGATTTAATGACTTTAAGCCCATTGAAAATGAAAAGTGTTGTCTTAAAGTTTAAGGTGCAAGCTTCGGTCAAGGACGACTGAGATAATTAGATGTCACATACAGACAGAGAAAGAAAGAAAGCAAGCAAGCAAACAGAAAGGAGTCCCAGTTTCAGGTCATGATCATTCACATTGTTTGAAAATCCTTTGTGAGTCATTCTTGCTAAGAGACTGTGTAAATGCATTGATTCAAATAGCAGCTCCACCGGTCAGATGTTTCTAATGTGCCTCACTGTGCTGTCAGTCATACCTGAGCCTGCATCTCCCACCTTGGTTCCCCCCCGCTGTTATCTTTTTGCACTCTGACCTCATGTGCTGCCCCGCCTCTCCAGCACATCTCCAGTTTGGTCACACGTTGTTGTTCAGTTAACCACCCATCCTCATTTCAGACTTCTGCCTGTCAGTGTCTGTTCCTGTTTGTCATGGTTTGTTTGTTCTTGTGTTCAACATAACTAAATTAAACTGTACCTTTTGGATCTGTTGCTTGTTCATAATGAGTGATTACTAGACAAACGGCTGCAAGGAGAACTTAGCTTACGGTGCTATTTATATATTTATTTACTGTTAAACCGAAGGTGCTATGGAAACAGATCTCGCCATAACCGTCCAGTCGTGGAAAGGGACCCGTCCAGACCAACAGAAACTATGATTTCATTGTCAGTGTCAGTTAAGTTTGACTTTGGCTTTAATCATTTTCATGCACTGTTGTGAATGATCACGTTCTCCTGCACTACGCTACACTGCTCCCACAGGAACACGTTCCCTGTTTGAATATTACATTCTACACATGCAGTCTTTTAAAAACCTCATTAAAACAGTTTATGTACAGTATTTATGCCAGCCCTAGAGATTAATGTAATATTGAATGATTCATTATGTCGTGATTTTTTTTTCATTAAGGTCCAAGGCCAACATTTTTAAAAAGATCCCTTTCTGCAGTAGCTACACATGGCAGGGCTGCTTAAGGTTAGGGAACGATTGTGGTAAATTGTTAATGTATAGTCAGGTTTAGGCAGCTAAAACACTTGGTCAAAGATAGGACAAGATCAACACTGGTACTTGGTGTAAATTGTGAGATGCAGAATCACACATAATAAATTCCACTCCTGGGCTCCTGGGCTGAAGTATAACAGGGAAGAAATCTGGTTTCTCAAACAGAAATGATGCTCAAGAGACGAAGCAGTTTTCAGCCCCTTATTTCTGTCTTGTTTATGTGATGAAAATCTGGTTGGTGAACCAATTACCTAAGTGCATTTTACGACACTGAATGCCTCCATTCTTGTCTCCTGAGTGTCATGACCACTTTCCAGGGTGCTGATTCTGGAGCTGGTATCTTAATGATGGCCAATAGTTCACCTTGACTGATCAGCCTCATTATTGCCCCGCTTCCTATTAGGCTCACTGTATATAGTACTGTAGCTCCAAATCCTAGTTGCTGAGGCTTAGAGATGCCATTGCCAAGCTCCCTGCACTGCAGGCAGAGAGAGTTATTAGTTATTTTAGTGCCTACTATCTGTGGCCAGGATTACGTTTTTCAGCTCATTCTGACACTGCTGGTTGGTGTTGATTTTAGTAAGGATATACTTTGAAGTTTGAAATTACTGTTCTGTATCTGGGTGGGGACCTACTGTAACTTCCTTCCTTTCTCTTTCTAAGACTGACCATATCGATGTCCAAATCCAGCTGCATTCTACAGCAGCGTCTTCTTGTCTTTGTTATAATCCTCTGCAAAGGCTATTTCCATCGGGTCCAAATTCATCTTGGAGTCCCTCTCCTTTTTAATACCCTCAAACATACACTCATGCTTTACATCAAGACATGTAACAATACTAGTGAGTGGAGAAAGAACTTTTTCAGGCTGAAAGGAAACCACATCCTCATTTTATCACTGCAGTATTTTTCTGAGACATGAAAACCTCTCTGAAAGCCACAGTGGAGATTTGGCAGGCCCACAGAGAGAATCCCATGAACGATGAGAGGATGATGTGAAGATGTTAATTCCCAAGATAACATTCACAGACAAATCGCTCTTTTGATGTGTGGAAACACAATCACATTGCAAAAATCTATGAAGAACACCATTCAAAAACAGACCCTGGAGCGACACAGGCGCAACTAGAGGGCTATTACAGACTGTATGCGAGCGAGGTGATACTACATAAGTGAGCGGTCTTTTATCTTCTACGGGAACTCATTTCATGAACAAGTGCTAACAGTAATTTTCCTTAATCCATTCCCCTCCAGATCATTTCTATTTGCTGCTGAAGTAAAAATCTCTATGTAATGTGATGCATTGACCCTGTAATACTGAGAAATGTTCTGGCAAAAAGTATTTAACATATATGTACAGTAGGTGTGCAGACCTACACACAGAAGCTGTCTCTGTCTAACTGGAGGCGTTGTATATATTGTAAAACACACTTAAAGAGGAAGAGAGTAACCGGCATGTTTCTTAAAAAAAAAAAAAACACTGCAAAGGTTGGATGGAAATACCAAAATGCCTGCAGCCTCTCTGTCAGCCATTTTGGAGACAGCATACTTTAAAATAGTAGTAACAACGCAGGATATTCTGTCCCCCTGTCAGCCATTTTGTTGAGATAACACAATGCTTCTCTAAGAGGCATGGAACAGACGAAGCATCCTTCCTTTGGAGCATTTTCTAACTGTCATGTGCTATCTGCACACTCCTCTATCACATCCTCTTAATCCCATGCTGCTGCTTTTTTCTTTGACTGTTTTTGAACATTTTCCATCTGTGTCAGAATGGATTCAAACCGCTTGTTTCTGTCTCTGCAGCTCTCCCTCAGTCTCTATGCAGTCATGGTCAAATGTCTCCATGGCAACCCAGACTACCATACTATGAGAGGGCGATCCTGTTGTCTCGCTGTCCATCCACTGTTATAGCTTCTTACCTTAGACAATGAATGAGTGAGTAGGTGAGTGAGTGACTGAGCGTGTGTAAGTCAGTGACTCAGTCAGCGTGAGTGTGTGGACTGAATGTGTTCGAGTGAGTGTGCATCTAAATGTGTGGCTGATTCAGTGAGTGATACATATGAGCAAGCTAGTGGGCTTGACCTCTGTTCCTCTGAATTTTAATGTTTTTCAGAAGCAACAATAAAAAACCATCTGGGCCAAACAGAGGACATTTGATTGACATTTTGGCTGACCAGGGGATGCTTGGCCTGACACACGTGGACTGACCAGAGGATCACTGGGGCCAACCATGGGATGGCTGAGCAGAGGGCACCTGAGTCTTCCAGAGAGGCACTTTCATTGAGTTGGTTAGTTGGACCTGTTCTCAGATCTGTGCAATGGCTATCAGTTAGTTTTAGGATTGACTACAAAATGTTGCTCCTCCTTTATAAACTTATAAATGCTGGTACAAACCTTGAAATTGTTTCACGAGTTAAAAAAAGACCTCAGTTTCTCTGGTCCCAGCAGCTAGAGCTCTTTGCCACATTAAATTAAATGTGCTCCAACATTAGCAGCATCTCTTTTCCTATGCATTTGATTAAAGTGTCAAACTGATTGTCTACAGTTATCTGTATATTTGCTGTATATATACATGTTCTCTTTGTTTGAACTTCAGTGAGAAGCACATTCACTCTTTTTTTGCATTAAATCAATTTAGCTTTGCTTTGCTCATGCACCCCAAGGAATCAACTATACATGCACATCGGCTTAGTATGTGTGTGGAAGTGTGCTTTTGTCCACCAGTGTATATCTTCTCTTTGTCTTTCTATTAATATGCATGTAGGCTATGTGGAGTTTTGTCTGGGACCGCTGGGAGCTGAAAGCCTGAAGGAAGGCTTTGCCAGTCCAGGTGGGTTAAGCACTGACTCATGACCCACCAAAAAATGGGTTAAAGCACATCACCTCTCACACTGAATACATTTCCTGCTAATCATTGGCACTGATCATTTACATTTCCCCTGGCTGCTGTGCACGTGTAGAGTCACCTGAAAAGTATAAGCTGAGAAAATGTGAATTCAGTGTAAGACAAGAGAGAGTGGGCATGTAGCCCATATAGTGTCTTTTAAAGCACAAGCACTAGGTGAAGCATTTCCTTTGAACTTAAGCCACCGTACTGCACACCACAACATTACATGACCTTGTTTTTATCTTTGCTGAGCAGACTGGAAAACAAAGGCACAAGGAGAGTAAAGAAGGTGTAAAAAAGAAATGCTGGTTTTTTTCTTGAAAGAAAAAGAAATCAGAATTTGGTTTGAAATATCTACTCTTGAAATGAAATCCAAAGCTTTGTCCATGGCAGGCCTGTTCTTTCAGTTAGTGGCTTTCGTTGAAATAAATCAGCACATGGAGCAGACACAAAAAGGAAGTAAGGAGGTGGTGAGCACAAAACCTTTACATGCTCTATATCTTTGTAATTTCACCTGTAAACAGCCTTTGTTTGTCTGCATAGTTAGAGCCTGTAAGTAAGTTTAATATGACTGCATCACATGGTGATATACATGTGCTGTAAAATATACACATCGAGTTTGGGTTTGGTTTCTTAAAACAAAATGAAATGGCCAAAGCATCCGGCAGTGATACTTTTCCAAACTGTTTTGTGAAGAAGAAACATTTATTGACATCAACTGGACCCTCAGGTAATTCTCCTCACCCTCTTTGTGCTTCAGGCTCCTTCTCGTTTGAATCCATTTCCTGAAGGTGTTGGTAGGCTGGGCCTGAGTATTTAGATCCTCCAATTGGATTTAGCCTTCCTCTGGGTATGGGTGGAGTCCTGCGTGGACCTGACCAATGGGCTACCCGGGTTATCTGGTTGGGACTGTGAGACAAAGACCCACTTCTAAGAGAAAAAGGCAACAAAAACATCCAGATGTTATTCTTAAACTTGGTATCTGATCAAATATGCTGGTATACTGTATATGTGGCTATTGAAACCTTTCACCCATGGCTGCTTGTCAAATGGTGGCATGTCATACTGCTGCCACTGTTCTTTCTGTCTGGGTCAACCACAGTTTGGATTGGGTTTAATATTCCATTGGTTATTTAGATTGGGTCTGACTGTCTGGATGGTTTTGGATTACGTTTTGTTTTTAGAATTCATTTATGCTAATCAAACTCAGGTAGGTTTTCCACTGGTTGATTTTGGAGTGGGTCCAGATCTTTGGACCCGTGAACATCTCTGGCACAGTAGGTTGGACACAAACTCATAGAGCAGTCAGGCAAAAGTGAAATAGCTTAGGCTGGGCTGGGTCGGTAACAGACAGGAAGTCAGATCTGGCAAACAAATCAGGAGAGGTAAAGGCAGAGATCAGGATCAGGTACAGTAGGATTAAAAAAAAATAAAAGCCCTAGTTAACAGGCTGGAAAGCAAAGACCACACAGGTAGTAAGACAATCTGGAAAAATGGCTACAGAAATGTAGGCAGCACAATATGTGGTACTAAAAGGGTAATGAGACAATGAACAGCAGGTTGGCAGAGAGGTCAGGTGATGCATGTGGCAAGAGGAGTGAGGCAAGAAAGAGGGCAAATGCAGCGCCACGTCAAACAAGCCCACAATCTAGAACAGGAAGGCTCAAGCCCTTGGCTAATTTCTATAATGACTAAACCACCCATTCACTATGTATTATTTTTATTTAATATTGTGTGGCACTGAGGTTCCTTTTTGGCATTTATGCATTTTTTGACAGTAAGTGAAGTTAGACACCCCCACCCCAACTCCCACCACCAAAAACTGAACCTGGAGTTATGCAGTACTTATGCTTATGTCATGTATGCCTCTAAATTAAAAAGGTTCTGGGATCCTGGAGAGGTTCCTATGGTAGAGAAGCGCTGCAGTCTCCTGGCAAACAAAGATTGCCATTAATAACTAACTTCTGATTAGTGATTTTAATAGAATTTGTGGCTCTTACATCAATCAGTTGTATTACAATCATTAAAAATGCAGTGTGTGCTTATGTGTGTCTCAAAATAGATTTTGGAGACAGAAAATGTGTCATTTCATTCTGATTTACTTTACTGAAGTAACAAATGTCCTCTTCATGCTGCTATTATATTAGCTTTTACTGGTTCTGAGCCCTGAGTCATATTTACCTCTGCTCTTTTGAAGGATAGTTTTCCCTAGACAACAACTAGAAGCTTCATGTACAGACAGACACTTTCTGGTGTTGGCAGAGATTTAAATTAAGGTCTTTAAAGACATCATTTCCAAAACACAGAATTGGCCTCAGCCAGTTTCTTTCTGGCTATTTTAGACTGTGGGATCCCAACACACTCTGCTGTCCTGACAATAGTGTCCAAGTCTGGTGCGATTACAAACATATACACCATAAACAAAAAGTGATTTGGTTTCAAGTTAAATCCAAAATCCCTCTTTCTTTCTCTCACATATACAAACACAAAACCTGTATATTAGTCACTGAACTTATACCGAAAAACATCCTACAAACTATAAACACAGACTAGCAACAGATGATCTGATGTATGAACCCAATCTGCAGAAGCTCTCTTCTCTCGGCTCCGTTTCGTGAACGTGTTTGCTCATGTGTATTGTAATAGAACATCCAGCCTTGGCAAAAATGTGGATTTGAACTCAGGACAGTCAGAAGTCAGTACTCGTGTGCGTCGTCTGCTGATGAACATGCCAAAGCCCAGCCAGCTCTAACAAACCACTGACCAGTGTGAGAGAATGCTTAGTGGAATTTACACCTCTGTGCTGGCTCATAAATCCCTGCACATGTGCTTCCCATTTTATCTCTGTCCCATCTCTTCTGTGTTCACAACTGTTATAAATATGCTTATTAACATGTTTATAGATTTAATTATAATTACTATCATTCTTCAGTAAATCAGCAATTAGCTTTGGCCTCACTATAATGTGGATGATTCAATTTCTCTCTTCACTGCCTCCCTTCTGATTATAGGAAAGGACACTGAAGTTGCCTATTGTTGGTTTAATCAGCATTATTACTGTTTTCTGCAGTGAACAGAAGCAGCAGCTGCGTAACTTTACACCAGTATACATCTCTGTGTGTAGATAAACAACATACCTGTAATGTTTTGCTGTGCTTCTCGAGCTGTTGGATGGCGTGTTGGTGATGCTGCAGTGTGCAAAGCTTGACTCACAAACATTTCCCTGGTGAGACTGGGAGAACCGTTTGCAGTACTGGGGAAACAAATGAGAACAGCAAAACATTTTAAGTTTCATTGCCATTAAGAGGAAATAAATGACTCCTTCAGAAAAATCAGTGCCAGTGGTTTTAAGACAATGCAGTTCTACATCACATGACATGAAGTGCTCCCACTCAGCAAAAAAAAACAAACTTCTCCTCCTTCATAAGCACGGTATAATGAGATTTCTTAGCTCCACCAGCTCTTTTTCACACACTGAGAACTTCAGGGTGGGGACTGCCTACAGCCATGATTCTAGGGACTGATTGTCAGGGTCCAGATGGAGTTGGGTTACATTGATTTCTTTCTTTTTCCACCTTCCTCAAATTCTTTCTTGAGCTAGGTTTGTACTGTGGAAAGCAGGAGGAGGCTGCTGATGGCTTGAGAAAATCAAGAGTGCAAAGGCTTCTGGTCATGTCTCACATTATTAGGTACATGAAGCTAAAACTAAACAGTCCCACAGTAAATCCTCCCACATGATGGCGATGAGGTTAAGGTCTTCTCAAAATATTTTGGAGACTCGTTGATTTAAATCTATGGTCGATATAGAGGCCTCAGTTTATGCTGCTGTTGAACTGAACTGCATTATACTGACAGGTATTTCTATTATCTTGTTTATTATCTGTTGTTTTTATAAGTGAGGCTGGGCAAAACAAGAGAAACACCTGTGTTCTGCTAGGTGTACCTAATAAACTGTCAACTGGTAAAAGACTTGGTTGTGAACCACCAGAAGATGTCACAAGAAAAAAAAGTGGATAGGCAAATCAAAAACATTTATTCTATAATAATTCTGTTGTAAAGATGAAAGAGTAGATAGTTGGCCCCTTTCAGTTTTCTCAAATTATTCCAGTGAAATGATTTTCAAAACCTGTGATCACAGTTTTTTAATGGAACACAAGCCAAAATGTCTGAGCACCATTCCTCTGTCCTGATCTTAATCCAGACAGTTGTGACTGCAAAACAATAAGTGTTACATAACCCAGATGTTGCTAACATTATCTTATAAGCACAAATCCAACAAATGGCACAATGATGGGATCCCAGCCAATAACAGTGCAGACACTGGTACCATCTCCTCATCATCTACAGTTTACTACTACCATCAGGTGCTCACATTTCAAGAAACTAAACATACAAACCACTGTGCACATCACTGGAGTATGAACCCAGCTTTTCTTTGAGTTGCATCTGCACCAAATAAGAAAAACCATGAAATTAGTTATGAATAAGCCCTTTCAAAGCTCCGTTTATCACAGTGGGGAAGTTGATACGTTCATCTATGCGATTAAGCCCTGAGTGCTTCTTTGTATAGTGTAAATATAAATATTAGGATAAAATGGAGAATTTAAACATATACCTACAGTGAATTATGTCACAGCAGATGTATGTCCACTACAGGCTCCCTTGATAAACAGTCAACATTATGTTTTGAAAGGGAAGCTCTTGGTGATGCACCGTATTGAAAGTTACTGTATTTATGCTACTTTGTCAAATGTTTATACTTAATCACTCTGAATCCAAATACTGAAGTGGAGCTGTGGCCTGATTTATCATGTGCTTTATTTTGTCTATTTTGAATGTCTTTGTCATCCACATTGATCCTTCCTTTGTCTCCTCTCCTTGCCTTGTTCCTCCCTGCAGCCTTCATGAGAGGATATCTAAATCAGCACCAGCATGGTACTATGTAGGTCCCAGGTTCTTTCTTTTAGCTCTTTTTATATTTGGCCCCATCTCTGGAGAGACAAATATGCAGTGAAACAAAGCCCCTCTTTGATTGTGCTCTTCACAATGCTGTTGACAAGGCACACTCACTCAGTTACACAGCAGCAGCAATGTGCTGTGATGTGAACACCTCAAAAGAACCAACATTAAAAGCCTTAAAGATGTGAAGAGAGTGGAGCTAGTTTGATTTTTTATCTGCTGCACAAACCTATCTTTGGTTTGCATCTATTTAGCAGTGACAGTTTTCTATCCTCAACAATCTCAGTAACTTCTTGACTTTTGTAACATAAAATAAGAGAAACCTGATTTCATTCAGTGTCTCCAAAGTACTTTTAAGTCTTTTTCTTTATGTAGAGTTTTTAGTCTAATATCTGAATACAATCTCAAAAATGGAAGATTGGACAAATGTCTGTGAATGACACAGATCGCTGCAGAAGCGAGCTTGAGGAAGTGCTGCGATGTTTGCCTGTCCACAAACCCAGGGGAATCACATGGACCGGCTCAAAAAGAATAAGAAACAACAACAACAGAAGATTAAACTACTGACATGAAGAGAAGTGGTTTCAAGTTAAAAAAATAGATTACTAGATTAGTTTCACCATTTTACTACTGAAAGTCCTGAACTGTTTTTTAATGATAGTTAATATTTAGCATTGATCAAGTGAACTGACTGCAAAGGATTCATAAATGTATTTATAAGGTATTTCTACACATACAGTACACCTTAGTAAATAGCAAGAAGAGACACACAGTACAAAATGATGAACCTTTTCAAAGATAAATTAATGTTATATATTGTTGAAATTAACTCAGCTGATGCAACCAGATGCAACGTCTGTGATAGGTGTATTTCTTTATAGTGTGAAGAAACTTTTGGAAAATGAGAATAACTACCAAGGTACTGTCACATTAAGGGAACACTACGGCGATTTTACAAATAGCTGCCTACAATACAAACTGGGGATGTGGGATTTGAAAGAAATGGGCACTATGGTGGAACGAATGGCCTCACGAAAGATGCCATGATTTGCATTCGGGACTCGGTCCAGTCAAGATATTTGGCCTTCGTCTCATCTGAGTTCCCCTTTTATGGGCTTATAGCAGTGAGCTACCCCTTTAACAGTGTCATTTATCACACACTCCTGTAAAGTATAAACAGACTAAATGCACCGCATTAATGTAAAGCAAAGCCAACATACATGAGGGAGTGATCAGTTAAATCTATCACCACCCTGTTGCATCACCGTCTGTGCTTTGACTGATAAAATTTCTCTCTTCTCCGCTCGCTCTCTGGTGTTCTGACACCAGGCGCATTCAAACTGCTAATTAATACAGAGGCTTCCACTGAGCAGATGTTCATTTCTCAGCCATTATGCTAGCGACCGAAGAAAGTGGGCTAAAATTATTGAACACTTGGATATGCAGTTAATTCATGATTAAGAAGGACTGGGTGACAGCATAATCACCCCTGCTAGCAACTGAAGGAATGTCTAAATTCACTGACTTAACAATGCTTTGTTTTTACAGCGACACAGGAGAAGCCTTGTGTTTAACTTATTTATCTGTTGTACATTAACAAAGAGCTGCCTTCCAACTCAAAGATGGAAAAGTGTCTCTAATCTGTTAACACTGACACTGTGTGGTTCAGCCTCTATTTTGTTTCAGTTTTAAAATAGATTTAGACTTTAGAAAGACCGCTCAAGGGAAAAGCAGAATCTGTGTGCATGTGTCATTCAGAAATACTGACTGTTTATAGAAGTCATCAATAAAACCTAATGTTTTCCCACACAGCTGCAGGCAAAGAAACTCGCCTCCTTAGCACCACAGACACAATGGGCAAAAGTAATCATGGCTTTAACAGTGACTTCATGTAGAGTCTGGACATCTGCGGTGCAAAGAGTGCATGTAATGATGTATAATAATGGATATGTATGTGTGTGTCCTGTAATGGATGTTTTAATCTCGGAAAAAGGGCACAGCATATACCGTGTGCCTCTGGCACTGAGGTTTTTTAACACTGACAGACTGTCCGGAGGGAAACAGGAGATGATTTTTATGATTGGTGCAGAGATGCTGGCATCAATAACAGCTTTATAGCATTATAAACACACACACACACATACAACTACCCATAGAAGTTTGGTTTTATTTCTCCTATGGACTTTACACTGACTTGCATCCATTTCCTGGAGACTTACCCTAACCTTAACCGTAAGCACTACTTGCCTAAACCCAGCCCTTTACTCTAATGTTAAACCAAGACGTCGCCATAAAAACTCAAGGACTTACATGAATGCAAGTCCCCACAATGCAGGTGTGTGAACAGGTTTCAGCCCCCACAGTGTTAGCGATGCCACACACACACACACACACACAGACACACACAGTAGTCTCAAGCCTAAGCAGAGCAGGTGCAGGATAGTCTTACTCATGATAGAAGCAGAGAAATTTTAATTATGCAGCAATGACACACAGACTCTGTAGAACACCTGAGGAATTCATGATAGGGTGGTAAAACCTGACTGACCGAGAAATAGCGGCTCACTCAGAGTCGCTCTTTAGTCCACTCCTTAATCAAATACTTCCAACAAAGAGCCCTGCAGTGCTAATCAGAAGAGCTCATTTTCTGTAACTGGTCACTGCTGGAAAGCTCTGCTGCTTTTGTCATGACCCAGATGATCATGAGGCACAAGTGCTTCATATTGATAAGGTAAAAAAATATTATTTGGGAGTTGACTTGTAGTGAAGAAATGGAACAGAAATGCAACAAAAACAGAAATTCAGCCTGACGGCCTTGTTGGGCAGATTTGTGTGAGTGCATGCACCACTGACCCTGTGTATGTTGTGTTCAGAGATTTTGGTAATTGATTGCTGGAGACAGAAATCAATATTGTTCAGGGCGCATAGGCACAAAATAAACAAATACAAGTCATTTGCATATGAGTTCCCCAAACGCTTTTGTAGTTATTAAATAAATAAACCCAGATTTAAAAGCAAAATTTTTTAAACTAAAGCTCAGCCTTGATAAAAAATACATTGTGTAGAGTCAGTCAACAATAATCAGTCATTCACAGCCAGTGCTAATAGAGCAATTAGCATGATAAGAGCCAAAGGACTACTTGAGATTTTTCATTATGTTTGTTATAATGAGATTCTATTATGTTCATCCAATTGTATTTTATGGCATTCTACTGTAGTCTAATGTTTCTCTATTCATGACATATAAGCAATATCAATACATATGTATATCATGACATCGACTCAGGGCCCATCACAGTTTTTTGACAGTGATAAGACTGAAGTTGGTTCTACAAATAGACCCACTTTACAAGGGCACATGAATTACCTTTTCTGGTGTGACTGAGTCATACTGCTAATGCTAAGTACACTGTTGGATGAGAGAACAGGGGACAAATAATTTCACCATCAATGGCTCAAAAAAGAATCAGAAAAGTACATTTACTCAATAAAATATGGTGTGAACTAAAAATTGATTAGGTGAGGCTGAGCCTTCTTGCACTGACCACCAAGCTCTGTCTAATCAGCCAAACACCCGTACAGATCTCATCTGGCTGTAAACTCAGTTAGGCTGTGAAAACAGGACACTGTGTAAACTTACTAAAACAATCACACTTAAAAAGTGAAACTTTTGATTAGCTGTAATTTTACTGTGAGCTGGGTGTGCTATGTATAAATAATCCTTAAAGGAGACTGAAGCAGTAACAAATGTATGCATATAAAGACTTAGGCCTTGAGTTACAAATACAAGTGCTGTGGTTAGGTTTTATGTTCTGACTTAGCCACAAATGAACATTTTGCTCAGAATGTTGAAGTTTAGCTGCTCAAATTCACATCCATCAAGTCTTAAAGACTGAAAATAACATCAGTCCTAAACTGTGATTTCTTAGAAAGTGTGAACAAGATATCACAATGCTACTGTAAAAGCACAGTGATGCATTTAAAGTTTGAACGTAGCTGCTTGCTGCAAGAAGAAAAGATATGAGTTCAAAAAGCAGCTGATTAAAACATTAAAAAAATATGAAAGGTATGTAAGGTATAAAAGTGAAAGGCAACAGCAATAATGTCCTAAAACATTGAAAATGAGTTTCATATTGAAAGCATGCCGAGCAAAATGGACACACTGAAGGTGTGAATGCTCCTATCAGCTGTTTTCCTATGGAGTCTCAATTGTCAGGCTCATAATTATAGATGCATTCATTTGCAAGAGTCAAAATACTGTTTTTGTGGATGTTAAAGATGTAGGACCTCTTATTTATTCTCAATTACTGTGACATTTGGGCAACAATTAAACTTAACAGGATGTTGTTCTAAAGGCTGCACATGTCGTAGCAACACCTCGGTTAAGAGACTGAATTATAACGGTCACTTCTCTGTACCAGAACAATACTGACAGGTAAATACTCTTTTCTGCTTACATTCAGTGCAGTACAATCACACTAAATCTTTAGTAAGTGCATCACTTTAATTAAAGATGTTCCTGTTTAATGGCAAATAAGATAAATCCATGTTGAAGGTTGGATTGCTGCCCTCCTCTTGATCTCCACTTAAGTTTGGGAATCCAGTTAGTTTGTCCTCATCAGAGCACCAGGCTGAGGGTAATGCGAGGAGGCACACCTGACACACTGTCTCCACAAACTGCAGATTTTACAGATTGCTTTCAAGCCTTGGTTAGCTGAGTCTCTAAGCTGTCTTAGATATCTGAACCCTTTGTGAACTGAAGCTCAAACAAAAGCCTCAGGCAAGATGTCCACTGCTTTAAAGTCTGGCAGCCTACAACTGAGGTGGACATGACCCGTGCAGTCCTGCTCCATTCAGACGCTTTTAATTCTGTGACCTGTTGATGCAAGTTAAAGGCAGTGAAGCATTTAATACATCACAGTATATGTACATAAACATCAGCAAGCGTGTTCATGATTCTTGTAGGAAAGTCAGGACCATTAGTACAGAACTACACGGTTCTTTACAGGAAACCTCTCTGGAGATTATTTAGAAATAAATCGGAATTTATGCACCTGTGAAATAAAGTGTTACCAGTGTGGTGATTTATAACATAAGATTATTCGCTTCATCTTGAGGACACAGTGCTCGGTCACTTGGTACACAGACAGGATTGTGGGAGATCTGTAGGGCCGATACTGTTCACATACATATATTAGAAAAATAGATGAAAAATGGTCTTTTGTTTGTTTTTGTTTTATACCTGATGAAAACACAAGTCATTTGTGAATGCCTTCTAAAATGACTCTGTTGACCCAGTTTCATCTTTACTTTTAGAGGAATAGTTTGTTATTTTGGAAAAAAAAGCTTAATTTTTTTAATTTAAATGAGAAGATCGATTCCATTCCCATATCTGAATGGTAAATATGTGACTACTGTTAGAAGCCAGTTATCTTAGCATAGCATAATTTCCCAAACATGTCAAACTACTGCTTTAAGCACTGCTTAAGTGGGAGCATCAGAACTATTGGAAAAGTCTGAGAAATATTGCCTTCATGTTCTCTGGAGCCCAGCCCTCCATCATAACCAGCTCCCTATGACTTTGTGTGATACTTTGACAATGTCACAAAACTTCTTGCTTTGGTACTGAAAGTAAACATATTTTGTTTTCAGCTGTTACATTAAATGAACAATGACAATGAACCTGACAAGGACAGTTCAAGGAAAAGCAGACAAATCAGGCCGAGGACTGAGAATGAGCAGCATCATGACCTGCCAGCATGAACTGTAATTACCTCTTCATGCAAACTGGATCTCACATACAGCATATGAATTTCTGTGCTTATCACACACAGTAATGCATACAACTGATGTATTTTAATGTGTTCACGATGGAGGCAGGGTCCATCATGTGTATAGTACAATACATGTGCTTTTTTTAAACTGTAAATTTAAATCTTGCCCTTGGAGGATTCACAGCAGTTATTCCACAAAGACTGCAGTCAAACCTGTGTAGAATCGACAGATAACGTATATGATAAAGTTGTAAAAATGTTTAAAGATGATTTCTGCACAAATACACAAGCACACTTTTCAAAGATAAGGGCTGTGATGGGTGATGTGGATTTGACAGTTTGATGTTTTTCAGCTACTCTGGCTGCACATGTGGGAGATGTGCAGTGACAAAGAGAGTGAGAATGATGAACGACATCACAAGCCGGCACATGCTCCCAAACCACTGAATGATTGCTCGCTCAAAGACCTGTGAGCTGCCTGATGCAAGTGGCCGGGTGGAGACGGGGAAACTCATATCCAACTATAAACTACAGGAGGGTAAGGAAGTCAGTGATTGATGCTAATACTCTGTATATGTCTGTATTTGTGATAATACTGTCAGAGACCGCTGCTAATTGTGGCTGTTTATTGATTTGGCCAGCAACCTAAGCAACAAAACTAAATTTGTCAGTATTGAATACTGAAAAACTTTACTAATAAATGTTGGTTTTCTAGATGGTGTTGTATATTTATGCTGGTATAAGTAGTAAGCAACTGAAGATGGTTTTTGGAAAGACAATAAATTCTACATCATATCTTAACCACAACAGGTTCAAGCTAAAGTCATCCAAGTTATGCAGTCTTCAAAATGTCAGGTCATAAAACCTGCACTGTTTTCCATGTGTAGACATGTACCGGCATCCTTCTATAGAAAACAGCAAACTTTGGAAGGAAGTTAAAATAGAAAAAGGAAAAATGGCAACGCCACCTCATGCATTTGCAGGCTGGTGTTCGGGGGCCTCACCTTGGCATCCAGGACATTACTGGAATTAGCAGTGTAGTTTTTCAAACTGCGACTCTCCTTCAGCTGCACCTGAAACTTCTCTCTGCGCCTCCTAAAGAGAAAGATAAAAAAGGAGGATCCACAGTTGACATTTATTTCAGGAGAGCTTTAGCTAAGGTGCTGTGAATGTCTGCGGCTTTTCATCCCAGACAACAAGTGTACAATCAGTGATCACAAAATCATGGGGTGTTATGATAGCACCAACTCTGGGTCGATAGCCTGCGCTCAGGTATGAGGACAAAGCACGTGTTAGCTTAAATCCTCAGTTACTTCACCGAGGAAGCTGCATCTGTCCTTCTTTAGCATCACGTTAGACTCTCCAGTTTAGCTCTAGTAAAACATGTTTTGACTTTATCCGTTTCATAATTATGTTCTGCAGTCAGTATCTTGATATCAAGTCCAGCTTGCAAGTAATGGATAACTTTGCTCTTATTAATTCAGAGGAGGAGTTTTGGGGCAAATGAAAAATTCTAACAGGTTAGAAAATTTGTGACTGTTGCAGTCCTTTTGTTTTGGAAAGGAATGACACACAAACCTTAAACTGCACAGATGTTCTGTTTAGGGTCCTGTGGTCCTTCACATTAGTTTCAAGACAGTAACATTACAGAACCAAGAGTAAGGTTAAGGTGAATAAGGTGAGCAGGTCAAGACCAACTTCATATCACCTGATTTCCACCTTTGCCCCCTTCTACTGCTGCTAGAGGTCACCTAAAAATAAAACCTAACTAGTGTTCCTTTTAAGCTGCTTGCACAGACGACCTACATGACCTGTATAGAATCATTTTTTACAGGAAGACGGTCTTCGATTGCCAATTTTTAGGGTCATCCAATGTTTTACCAGTGTCACGTCCTTGAGGAGAGAGGTGAAGAAGAAAGTGAGCTACAGCAGCTTTCTACCCAAACCACTCCTTCTCTCCTACAGTAAAAAGACACAGAACAAAACTGTAGCAGTTTATAAAATTTCCCTTAGCTCCATTTAACAGTTTCTGGCGAGATGTTTTGAGTCTCCATTTCTCAGATGTGTTTTAATTAAATCAGAATTGCTTTGTGATATTTATTGAAATTAAACTGAAGAAGTGAAAATGCACTGAAAGCTGAGTATTGTTCTGTTGTGCCAGAGGTATGCTCATAATCAGATATAGGAGAGGGAGCCTTTACAGTTTCAGTCTGGTGACTCTCTGCTGAATGGTAGCGATGTAATGAAGTGTTTACAGTCAGCTTCATGATAAGCTCCTAGCCTCTCCATCTTGGCACTTTATTTTCATAGAGGAAGGCTGTGACATGTGGTACACACTTTATTTTTTCTATAAAGGTGTTTAGTTAATTTGAACGGGCACAGCGTCTCTCCTAAGGCCTTGGCACAGTCTGGTTGTTTAGTTGATGCTTTGCATGCCCGCTCTTCTTAATAGGAGCATATGATTTTTCTGCAATCAAATACTTGTTGACAAGAGATGTGTCATTTCTCACATGCACTGGCCACTGTTTGTACCACACAGAAGGTTTTACTTTGCTCTGTTTGTTTAGTTGATATGATAAAGAAGTCAACACAAACCGCTATAGCTTCACAGAAATAAGATGAGGTTTGTTGGAATGACAAACTGTATTTAATGCATTTTTGTACTTGGCAGAAAGCTCAGTCTTATCATATTACTGAAAAATTGGTCAGCAGCTACTCATTTCATACCTTTTTAATTTGAGTTAATTGTGTTACTTATGGCATTTTATTCCCGTGTTAGATGCGGCAACTAAAGAGACAGGCGAACATCTGGATGTTTTCTATTTTTGAGCTCTAAACCATCCTCAAGATGTCAACAGACACTTGGTGTGTGCTGACACTTTTTCAGGTTTGTTGGTAAAGAACGAAATGGCGCATTACGGCCACCAACTGTACCGGAGCGTGGATGTAGTAGCTAACATTTAGTGTCTGTTGAAAGTGTACGGTTTTGAACTATAAAAGCACAGTGAAGCTGGTGGCTTGGGCAGAAAACACCTGACTTCTGACTTTTACATAGATAAACAGAGATTGAGTCCCAAGCTTGACATTGTGCATTGTTGTACTTTTACTTTGAACATGTTTTAACCAAACCCAGGGGCTTTCCTTAACCCTAATCAGCATTGTTGCTGTTGCTAAAATTAACCAACTTAATGTTCTAAGGAACATCAGACGCTTTCAGTAAATGAAACACATGGACAGTTGGATCGAGGTTAAGTGACTGAACATGTGGTTTACTGTAGCTGAGGATCGCTGTCTTTCTGTAGTGTCCTACAATCTGAGGACCAGCACAAAAACAAACAGTATAGATGGATGTGGCACACTTTAAAGTCAGCATGTTAACCTCATTGTCAGTGTGTTGGAGGGGAGACAAAAAGGAGTCACACTGCACGGCATGTTCCCCTTTATGAACTGATGAATCCTTTGTCTTTCATATAGTGATATTTTTGTCTGGTTCTTATTTTGCTTTTGTTGATGTTCTCTTTATCTTCCTTCCAATCTGAATGCATCTTCTCCCTCACTCCATTGCAGATTCATTGAAAGAGCTTGTCCATCTTGTCTTGATCTGATTATCTTGCTGTCAGGCTGCTCACTCACTCACATCATTATATCACAGAGGGAAGCCTATGGAATTACAGTGCCATCTATCACAACCTGCTCCACAGTCCATACACCATGAACGACAGATCTCTG